TGTCATAAAGGCTTAGTCATGTCTCTTGACCAACCAATGAGCTGGTGCCCTGACACATGCTCCTCCTAGAGCTGGTGTCTGAGCTGATCCCCATACATCACTGAATGTGAGTTTGCCAGGTACTGTGCTTCTGGTTGCTGCTTCCTTTGGGTAGGGCTGAGCTGATTGTTTTGCTGCGATGCAGGCTGAGCACTGAAAGTCCTTGCTTGTTGCAGGATTGATGTTCAGTCCAGTGACAAGTCCATCAGAGTGTAGCTTCATGAGTCCTGATATTGCAAGGTGACCATGGTGTAGGTGTGCCTCATACCAGCTGAGTCAATGCTCTGCTGCTTGATGAGTTTGGTCTCCTGATGACTGTACTAGCTCTGCTTTGGCATTCAGCAGGTAGAGATGATTTGTCTTCTGTCCAGTGCCAACTAGAATGCCTTTCACATCCCTGAGCTCACACTTGGCTGCTGAGAAGCTGATCTTGCCACCAATGTCATCAAAATGTCCAGCTGATAGCAGAGAATTCATAGCATTAGGTGCATAATCATGGATTTTTATTTATAGGAGAATTATCTATTTCTTTAAATTCGGAGTATGTCCTTGAGGGTATGTGTGATCATCTTCCCATTGACATAAAAGTCTAACTTGACTGATCCTTGTCCTCTGGCTTGTATGGCATTGTTGCCTATACCCTTGATCTCATGCATAGTGAGGGGTTGGTAGTTGAGGAAGACATCATGAAGTGGGGTGATATGAGAGGTTGTGCCAGAGTCAAGTAGCCAATCCTGACCAATGAAGTGACCAGGTGCTGTAGCATGATAGGCTGCTTCAAGTAGCTCACCATTGACCTCCTCAGCCTGATTTGTCTGCTCTGATTTCTTATTCCTCCCCCTTGAACATGGTCCTTGTCCTTCCTTTCCACCACCTTTACTCAAGCAATCTGCCTTGATGTGGCCTGGCTTCTTGCAGTTATTGCAGATAATGTTGTTTGTGTGTGCTCATGTGCCATGGTTCTTCTTCCATTCTTGAGGGGTAAGGTTGCCTGTGGAATCTTGTTCCTTGCACCAATTCACCTCTTCCAAGAGTAGTGAGACAAGCTCATGGGATGTCATTGGCATCCGGCCAGTACATGCACCAAGAAGTGATTGGGTGAAGGTGTCCCATGTTTTGGGGAGAGATGTAGTGAGGAGGTTGGTGAATAGCTTATCTGGGATGATCTCACCTTGCAGGTGGAGTTGTTCTTGTAGTTGTTGCATCTCAGTGATGTGTGTAACCATGTTGAATCCATCCACAGCTTGCATATGATACAATTGACATTGAATTTCCATAACCCCCAGCTCACCCCTTGACTCCTTGACCATGATCAGCTGGGACCACATTTGTCCTGCTGTCAGTGCCCCAATGAGGTACACCATCTCCATATCTCCCACACACAGCTCAATCTGGTTCTGTGCCCTCATGTCTATCTCATCCCACTCTCTCATCCTCTCTATCTCCTCTGCTGTCACCCCATCTGTCCCTGCTGGTTCTGGTCTTGGTATGCTGCCATCAACATGGCTGAGGAGATTGTACTCTCTCAGTAGTGCTTGCATGCATCTCTTCCATGGATACCAGTTGTCTGCATTGAGCATATCAGGGTGGATGATGGTGCATCTCAGATGCTTGAGGGAAATATGTGTGACATTGCTGGGCTGTTTAAAGTGTTGCTGAATAATATCAAAGGTGATCAGTTATAATTCGAGCCTCAGTGATTGCCAAAACAGAGAGTAGGGGGTGGATGCCACGAAGGTAGCTTGGATGTAGTTTTCCCAGTGTGCTGATGTCTTCTCCAATAGAGTCTCCTCCAATGGGGATAATCAATAACACAGACAGGTCATCCAGCAGGATGTCCACAGTCTGCAGAAGTTAAAAGAAAAGCTTAGAGTGATCTTGTTGAGCAGGGCTCATAACCTGTAGGCAGGTAATGGCAGTAAACAAGATGCATTTGTCCGGACTGAAAAGTTTGCACTATCCGTCCAGTCCCTAGCTTATGTAAGCAGGTACTGTACAGTACCTGTAGGTGCGCGTCGATATGCGCACCTCTCTACTATATGCCAACAAGGAGTGCTAAAAACAATTATCCATCCATTTGACTTGAGCACCTCCACTATCAGTGTTCATATCACATTTGTCCGCGCTTGAATAAATTGGTGTTTCTTTCCTGATCGTTGTGGTACAGAAGAGGATGGAGGAAGCTTACCAATTTCAAGTATTAGGATCTTGGCGGATTTCAAGGACGCATGAAGCGTTTTCAGGATTCCTGTCAAGCTTGTTGCACGGTATGTGTTCCATTGGTCGGTGCAATTTGGAGATAGCGACCGTTTTCCGCCTCTGCTTGAGTGGATCAGTGACGAACAGACGGCGAGACGTTGTCTTTTGACACCTTGACATATCAAACACCTTTTGCAGTAGGCGTGCTAGTCAAACAGGTGTCTGTGGCAAGTCAGGCAGGTATGGTGAATATGGCGGTGAGGGTGTAATGAGAAGCCGAGCGGCGGCAGTACCGCGACTGACTCTTCACGTCGCATCCGTCTCACGCGTCTTCCTCGCGCGCCTTGACCTCTGCCCATTGATATTGTTCGTCTCAAGACCATTTCACTCCTCCATTGTCCAGCGCTCTTCTCGGATGGACAAAAGGCGGTAATTGAACACATATCAGCGCACGGATTGCTATTCTAAACGGCTTGAAACTGGACGACATTGACGTATTGTGCTTGCCGGAGGTTACGCGCGGTCAGAAGACATCTTTTGTGCATCGACAAGCCTTTTGTTCCTACCGGGTCGAAGGCTCGCCAGAAGACGGGTGCCAGCGGAGGGTGCCAGCGGACTACGGGATATATAAACGCATCGAATAATGGTGAGTTGTCCCTGTCCTTACCACTTCTGTTTCCCTCGACATGGCTCATAATCCAAAGACACCCCCTCGTCAAAACACCGCCCTTTCCCAGGCACCTAGCACCACACCGGCCAAGGCGAAGACCACCGCGGGCTCCACATTCAACACGTCAAAACTTGAAGGCAAGCGAAATGTCATGTTTGAGTCGACCCGTCTCCTCCTTATTCCGAACGAACGTATGGAAGCGATCTTACCCTTGCCCGAATGGGTCGCGGCATGCGTAGAGCAGCTGTCGGATAGCCATCCAGTTTTCACAGGGAAGGAATGGGATGACCTTCCACACCTCACCACGAAAGATCAAACGTCGACCCTTGTGGGCAAGGAAGATGAAGTCTTCCAAGCTTACCGCCCTCTCCACGAATTGATCGTCAAGACCTGTGGGAGTTGGCCAGGAAGCTCAGAGGCGCGACCTGTTTTGCTCCGGCCGAAAAATACGCCCAAGTCCACCCTGAAGGAAAATTCAAGCAGGCCAGATGGAGCGAATCCAAAGGACAGTTCCCTGAAGATCGAATGGGACAAGGAGCGGTACGTGTGGGTCGACCTGTTTTCGGCGTACGAGTTCAAGAATGCGAACGAGAAGAATCTGGTTGGTCTCATGGGTATCCAGGTGCGCCGAACTGATGCGTTCACACCGTTTTCCTAACGTTTGACATTTTGCCCAGAACACCAAGCAAATCATCTGGGACCTGCAACATATGTTGTGGGAG